TGTAAGTATGGATATGTGAAGGTGGCTACCGAGGTGTTTAATAAGGAGAAATATAGAGTTGAGGCTGACTTTAAGGTTTATACCATTTTGATATACGGTTGGTGTAAAATAGGGAAAATCGAGATGGCTAGAAGGTTTTGGAGGGAGATGTTGGAGAGGGGGATTGAACCGAATGTGGTTACCTATAATGTGTTGTTGAATGGGATTTGCAGGCATGCTAGTCTGCATCCAGAGGGGAGGTTTGAGAAGGTCATTCGTGATGCGGAGAAGACGTTTGATGAAATGTATGAGAAAGGAGTAGAACCTGATGTCACAAGTTATACGATTTTACTTCATGTTTATAGCCGGGCACATAAGCCCCAGTTGTCATTAGACAAGTTGAATATGATGAAAGAAAAGGGTATTTGCCCAAGTGTGGCTACATATACATCAGTTGTGAAGTGTCTTTGTTCATGTGGGAGAATTAAAGATGCCGAGGATTTATTAAATGAGATGGTGCTTAATGGAGTTAGTCCCACGGCTATGACTCTTAATTGCTTTTTTAAGGAGTACAAGGGGAGAAGTGATGTAGAAAGTGCAATGAAGTTGTACAAGAAAATGAAGGAAGGCGGGTTGTGGTGTTCACCAAGTATACATACATATCATATATTGCTCGGAATGGTTTTGAAGTTGGGTAAAATGGGGCTTGCAAGGGAGATTTGGGATGATATGAAAGCTAGTGGAACTGGACCTGATTTGGATGGTTATACATTGTTAATTCATGGATTGTGCGAGAAAAGGAAATGGAGAGATGCTTGTGAATTTTTCGTGGAGATGATAGAGAAGGGATTTCTTCCGCAGAAGATTACTTTCGAGACACTGTATCGAGGATTGATACAAGCTGATATGTTGAGGACTTGGAGAAGATTGAAAAAGAAGCTTGAGGAGGAGTCAATAACTTTTGGTTTGGAATTTGAAGAGTATCACCTAAAGCCATACAGGAGATGATAGTTCTTCAGTGACATTGGATGCAAAAGTTCAAACACTCTGTTAATATCTCAATAAAAGCTCAAAGATTTAGAGAACATAATGATGTGATCAATTTCAGCACAAATGATCAGGCAATGCACACCATTACTTCTGCTCTCAAGGCAAACAGCAGCTTGCCTGCCTGCTTTCTTCTATGAGGCGTAACTGTAATTCATTTCCAGTTATTCTAACAGCAAAAGCTGGAAATGCGAACTCTCCGCGTGTAGCTATGATTAGCCTGAAGGTTAAATTAAGTGGACAACTGTTACTTTGAAGGAATATTGATATATTTTCTTTCATTTGGTTTTCAGCTTTAAAAATAGTTTTAGGATTTGTTAGTTACTGCAATAGTATATATATGCAACTAACTTTGTTTTCAGACCTTGATGCTATGAAAACAGTTTCAGGATTTGTGAGTTTCTGCAATAGTATATATGTGCAACTGACTTGACAGTGTTTTGGTACCTCAATGCAGAAAAGAACCGGCACTGGGTTAGATATACAAATTATTGAAAGGTGCAAAGCTCCATGGTTTGCTGCTGGTCTATCTGTGCTTGTTTGTTTTCTCTGTGGTCGAAATGTCCATTCCAGGAATGCAATTTTTGGGAGATAAATGACCATCTTCTGCAAAATATTAAACAGCCCATCTATGGTGGTGACTGGTGAGGCTTGTTGCGAAAAGATATCGCTATCGAAAGTACAAATTCAAATGCATTGCACATGCTATTTCTGCTTCAGATTGCATCGCAAAAGGAACCGGCTGTGCACCTAATTGTCCTGGTCTCTAAAGTATGTTTACTGCTAGGATTCTAGTTGCATTCAAGGGGAATTGGTTCTAAGAGTAATTTAATAAAACATGGTCAGTCACTGTATGAGCAAATTGCCCTCATTAAATTGCTCGAAGGAATGTCTCAGGTAACTCTTTTGAGTTCATTGCATTTGCTCTGTTTTCTTGAGGTTGTTACCGTCTTTCTCCAATTACACCTCGTGCGATATGGCAGCGAGTAACTCAACGGGGGCGAAGTTGGAAGGACCAAGAACCAATTTTGGAAGAACAGCATGGCAATAGGATGGATAGTGGGAGTCAACACCCGTTCTATGAGATACAAGAGAATATGGACATTCGATGAATACCCTGTATGTTTATGACCTCTCAAAATTGAAATAATTTCAGTTATGGATGGAGGAATGCTTCTCTCAGTCACTGTGTTGGAAATACCAGTTTTACATATCATTTGGATCTCTTTAGCACTTGGCAAGTGAAGGTAAATTGTAGACAAATTCAAAACATATATGCATCAAATTTAAGCACCGAGGCTGAAGCAAATATTGCCCCAACAAAATGGTAAAATTCATGAGAACCTACATTACCACAAAAACACATTCAATCAGCGCACTAAACTGTCCTTGCATTTAAAAGTACATCGATTAGCCAAAAAACGATAAGCCGATCATTTTATTCCTATCACTGACATGAGACATTGGAGATTTCCATAGACCTCTGAAACATCTGACGACTCATCAAATGATGAGGAGGGCTCAACTCCGGTGAATAAATACAAAGCCTTTACCTCTTCATAAATGGAAGCAGATCGGCGCCCTCTGTAGCCAATTATTGCTTTGACAGAATCGATCTGTGTCCAAACCTTTTCTTCGGTAAGCAACCCCTACAACATTAACAGGTTATATAAGTAAACCAACAATGAAAGTCGTGAACAATTATAAAGTGTAGTGTTACACGAATAGTCTAGTAAAAGTGAATATGGCACATTACCTAGTACCATAAGCCATCATGCAAAGGAAAGAAGGTCAGAATACTTGAATGTAAGTATAGATGAAGCCCAAGATCCTAACGCTACACTTGGACAGAAATTTGGCCCGAAGGTGCTGGTTTGAAAGTTCCTATAGGTATAGTGTTTCACAACACCAATGTGAACTACCATAAATCTGGTTTCTCATTTTACTTATTGCATTATTTGAATTATCCAGTGTTAAAAGTAGCATGCAATGTTAAAAGTTCCTATAGGCACCTTTCTTGCATACGTAATTAGTTCAACGTTCATATCAGATAAAATAACCAAAACATCCAAGAAAAAAGCCTTGCATCATTATACTCTGATTCACAGCACTTGTGAGTAGATATCAACTAAGAAAATTGTGTTCTTACATTATCTACACGCAAGGGCATAGCCAGAGGGGGGTTAAAAAAATTTTAAATGGACAAATACATTAAAAAAATAATAATAATGGGGGGGGGGGTTATAGCACAGGGAAATCCCCCTAAATTCGCTTCTGTTTACGCTACAGTCCCTTTTGCAATCATACCACAGGCATCAAGTATTCATATAGAAGATTATAAATTATATCAAGAACTGCTAAAAGGTGCATGGCGTAAACATTATAGGCTTGTCAAATACAAACTCTAGCACACTTCTTTTGGAGAAGGGGAAAGACATTCGGCCATAGAAACTTTTGAAATTATATTCTGCTAATCCGACATCGTATGATTACATGTCCTACAGTCCTAATCCCATTAAATATAGATTCTTAAAAGATGCAAGAAACCGCGCTAGATTTTACATTCTTCTATCTTCGTGATGCACCAAAATCCTTGCTCTTACAAACTGTCCTCCCACAACAATTACATCATCACTACAATAGATTATACTCGACCACAAATTCCTTGTTTTTTCTCGACAGAGAGAGAACAATAATAACTCGCTTCTAATAAGGATACCAAGTGGAGAACTATGAAAAGAAATTTCTCTCATATGAATCAACCTCATTTCTTAAAAGACTAGGTGCCAAAGAGGCCTTTTTATAGACAAAAATTTACATATTGCAAATCCTTGTTTTTGTGGATTGCTATTCCTGGTTCCAAGCAATTTGAAGATTCCAAGAAAAGCAAATCCAAATTGCCCCTTGTTTTTATGCAATTAGGAAAGTCATACGATAGGTGCATTGTTTAATTCACACTTCCTATGATTTATTACCGATATTACACGACCACTTTATCTCGAAAATATGATGCTGGTTAAAATACAACATGAAATATTTAGGAAAATATAAAGCTTAAGCACTTCGACCCATGCATGAACATGCCAACTCAAATTTCAGACCATTCTTTATATTGGAAAGTGCAGTTTATTTTAAGACTGAAAGCCATATTAATGAGCGAATATGACTACAAATAATAACATAATAGTTTTTGAAGATAAAATATTCTTTCCAAGGTAACCACATATGTTTCAAGTACCAATCATTATCTCATGATCCAATTCCATGAACATCCAAAGTGGCTTCACAGTAATAGTCGAACAGTGCAATTATACTTCCAATGTCAAAGATGTCTTCTATAAAATCGTTTAGCATCTAGTGATACAATTTGGCGTCTTTCAACTTGAGATTAATCACATCCTAGAGGCATTGCCATCACTTACAACCTTCTAATTTGTACAACACTGATTATAAGATAGATTCCTGATAAGTGTATTTTATACACTTATTCGGGTGCTTAAAATGACAATATTTGGTGGTCCTTTTAACAAATTATATCCTATTTTATTTTATTTTATGCTTAATAGATATATTTCACGATCAAAAAGGGAGTTGAAGAGAAGAAGCAAAAATGGGCGAAAAGTGGCAAAATTCAAGTACAAGGACTAAATTGGCTATTTGATGCAAAGTTTGGAAATCAAAATTCATTATCTTGAAAATTAAGGACTTGGAAGCAAACACTATAAATGGGCCTCAACTAGACTTCCACGTGGGCTGAAATTGAATGGCAATTGAAATACATATCATATATGGGACTTAAACAATTCAAGTGGGCTGCTAGGTTTTATTTTATAGATATATACACCATTTACACGCCGAGGAGGGGAGAGCCGAACTAGGGAGCAGACCGAACTAGGGAGCAAATTGGACTCCACTTTGGGGTCAATTATTGAGGCTCAATAGCACAGAAAATCGGGAGAGATACATACGAATTGGAGAGGTGGAATTGGGGAGACAACCTGGGGGAATTGGTTGCTGGAAATTAGACTTACATACATATATATTTACCCCTTGCAGCCAGCAAAACGACTTTTCTGGAAGGAGAACTGCAGCCGGCCAAATACAACACTTCGGAAGAATTTCTAACGGCTGGACAAAAATTCAATTGCGGACTGCTAGGATTAATTGGAAGAAGGCCCGACACACAATTGGATAAATCAATTGAGAAACGTGTAAAGCATAGAGGGAAGCTGAAAGTAGATTTGGAGGCAAGAATTGAAGCTGCCGGCAATTAATATATTTACATACACACGTAAAGACGGCAGCTTGAGGAGGCAGAATTGAGAAGTTCCAGCTGGGATTACAATTAAATATTGGAGGCACTCACAGAAATTGAGGAGAGGCACACAGAGAAGCTCAGAAATTGCTGGAATTTATCACTTATACGCATAGGAAACCGAGGCAGAATTGGACTCCAAACATTGAAGCTGTCGGCTGGAGTAAAATTGAAATTTCATTCGCGTTTCGTCAATTAATCCCGGTGATATCTTCCATTATTTTATCTTGTGTTTCTTCCATTATTATGAATAGCTAAATTTAATTTAGGGCGAACAACGTAATTTATTTGGAACCCTTTATTTCGTTGATTTAAGATTCTAGTGCTTTTATATCTTATGCGTTGATTTTAATGTGGTGCTTAATGCTTTTAATTACTTGATCACTAATTAAATGATTTGTGAGCGATGATTGCGTAGAGATGCGGATTATTTGTTTAGACCACATGTTAAAAGCCGGTAAATCGATATAACGTGTAGAGATACTTATGTTGATTGCTGCGGTCGTGTGTGAATTCTTAGAACCAGTGTTGCGTTTAATTAATTTTAATTTGCATAGAGATATGGAATTGAACTAATTAAATAGGCTCAACGAGAACTCGAGAGGGGTAAGTTGAATACTATAGAAGAATTCGATCGAACATTACTTTAGGTTATATGAATCTTGATTTACGAAGTAAAGGTGACCATTAAGTGAAATTGTTCCGCCCTAAAGTCCCTTTATTATTTGAACTCTCGATCATTTTCTGTTGCATCAATTCGCACATTTTTAAGTAGCTAGATTTAAAAGTCACAACCAATCACTTTTCTCGTTTATTTTCGTCAAATAGAAGTTAGGAATAATAAATTGAGTATTAAAGTATAATCCTCGTGGGAACGATAATCCGGACTCAAAAGGTCCACTTTACTACTTGTTACGATCCGTACACTTGCGGGATAAAATCCACAACAATTCCGTCCTGCTACAGGGATCAGGAATCTAGACCACTGAAGTGAGGCCTATACAATTGACTTTGGGAGTTATGATTTAAAGGAACAAGGTGTTGCTTGCCTTGGATCTCATTTACAAGTATTGTGTTTACCAATTTGATCATTAGTTCTCCTAAATAATTCTTATGCAATTTTGAAATCAGATCATGTATTACATTAAGGAAAAAAAATTAGTTAGCAGTTAGCACTGACCGCATTAGAAATTAAAGCACCATCTGTCTCAGAAACATTTCTATTGCCTTTCGACTTGGTTTCTGCATCATGTTCCAATTCAGGTACCTGTGGTAATGCTACATCATCCACAGAACCTTGGCTTTCATCTGGTGAAATAGTTACTGCACAGTCATTTGATGTAAACATGAAAACAATTTTGATAAGCCCAAGCATTTGTATGGAAGGGTCCCACGTATTTATGTGGATACTAAAATTATAGGCAAATTACCTTTTGCTTTGTTGCGATCTGTCAAAGTAAATAGGCCACTATTCTGACTCTCACCCTCAGCTTTGGCATTTGAACTGACTTCTTGACTGATGATATTTTCCTCATTTTTCTCACATCCAGGATCACTATATGCAACAGAGCCAGCATTTTCCCCCTGCAGTGTATCATGCTTGCTATTAATCAAATCATTTTCCTTGTCTGTTGATTTCCTAGATACCGAACCAATTTTGCTATGATCTGCATCTCCTTTCTCTAGTAATGTGCCTTCCATTTCTCCATCTTGCTTGATATCATTGGGAACACGGTTCAACTCTTCACCATTATGTTCTTTGATCAATTTTACATTTGTCTCCTCCCCTGTTTCTTCATATTTTCCCTTCGTGTCTTGGACCACGTTCAAATCATTTTGTTCACGTGAATTCTTAGTTTCTCCATAGGCTTTTTCTACTTTGCCTGAGGATGGTGCATGTCTCCCATCTTTCCATGCTGCAGTTCCTTTCACATTTCCAGAATCTTTCCACGCTTTCAAATTCATCTTTTTCTCAGTTCCCTCAGTTTCTACCGCACTACTCTTTCCCTCAGAAATCGTCTGACCTTCCTTTAATTTCTCTCTTACCTTCTTCACAGGGACATCTTTATCCAGCTTTCCCTCGGTTTCAACTCCAGTGCTTTTGCCTTTGGAAATGGTCTGACCTCCCTTTACCTTCTCGCTTTCATTCTTCTCAGGGACATCTTTGTCCAGCTTTCCCTCAGTTTCAGCTGCACTGCTCTTGCCTTTAGAAATGGTCTGACCTTCTTTCACCTTTTCTCTTACCTCAGTCGGCATGACTACCTTATCCAGCTTCACATTTTTATCTTCAGGCAGATCGTCTTTTTTCCTACTTCCAATATTTTTAGCATCATCATTCACAAAAACATGAGGTTGAACTGTAGATCCATGCACAAAGTTTTTTGCATCCTTTCTAGCTCCCTCATCCCCATTATCTTCAAGAGATTTTGTATTCTGCCCTTTCCTATCCTCTTTATCCTCACTTGCTGTTCTTGCCACTTCATTACATTTTAATATAGATGCTTCCTCTCTCCCCTCACTTCCATTCATCTGAGGGACATCTGTATCGAGTTCTGCATTTTTAGATGCTTCTTCTTGTTCTTCCCTAATTGCAACATTCTTGTCATCATTTTTGTCCACAGACCAATCCTCTCGTTTCCTAATTCCGACATTCTTCTCATCCTCCACATAATCTATAGTTTTAACTTCTAAACAATGTGTACAGTTTTTCTCATCCCCACTAGCACTGCCCACATCCCCAACAAATTCAATGGTTTCCGCATTTTCCCCTTCAAATTTCCCATCCTCTACAACTGCTATTGGCTTTTCACCCTTACACTCTAATTGGGGTTCTTTCTCTCTTTCTTTATCCAGGTCTTCAATTTCAATATCATCCATTCTCTTCAGCAACTCATCTTCCTCGTAGCCCTGTTCTTCTAAAATGTCATCTCTGCTAATTACTTTTTCTTGATCATCCTTAATGGCTTCTCTAACCTTAGCATCATCATTACCATTTTCCTTGCTTTTATCTTCCACCAATTCAATTCTCACTTCAATTTCTTCCTTCATGTCATGCTCTTGTTCCTTTTCCTCCATTGCAACTACGTTCCCCTTAACAAGAGATTTGTTTTGGACTTCTACTTGTTCCCTTTCCTCTTCATCCATTGCGACTACACCCGCCTTAACCAGGGATTCCATATTTTCCCCTTCAAATTTCCTATCCTCTTCAACTCCTATTGGCTTTTCACCCTTACATTCTAATTGGGGTTCTTTGTCCCTTTCTTTATCCCTTTCTTCAATTTCAATATCACCCATTTTCTCCAGAAACTCATTTTCCTTGTAGCCTTGTTCTTCTAAAATGTCATCTCCGCTAAGTACTTTCTCTTGATCATCCTTAATGGCTTCTATAACTGTAGCATCACCATTACCATTTTCCTTACTTTCATCTTCTACCAATTCAATTCTCACTTCAATTTCTTCCTTCACGTCATGCTCTTGTTCCTTTTCCTCTTCCTCCATTGCAACTATGTCCCCCTTAACAAGGGATTCGTTTTGGATTTCTTCTACTTGTTCCCTTTCCTCTTCCTCCATTGCAACTACGCCCCCCTTAACCAGGGATACATTTTCGACTTCTTCTTCTTCTTGTTCCTCCTCTTTTTCCCTTTCCCCTTCCTCCATTGCAACTACACCCCCCTTAACCAAGAATGAATTTCCGAATCCTTCTTCTTCCTCCAATGCAACTACATCGAAATCCCTCTTATCAAGGGAAGCATTTCCACCTTCTTCCTCTTCTTGTTCCTCCTGTAATGTCAAAGATTTTTTATTGTCCCATGTAATAGATGGCGCAGTTTCCGGCAGCAATTTGCTCATGAGTTTTTCAGTGCAGGCATAACTGGCATAGACAAACCCAAAAGAGACCGAAAAGGCAACCCCAATTGCAGAAATAACTACAAGAGGAGGAAGAACCAGAGGAGCAGATGATATTAGAATAACAGTGACCGCAACCTTCTTTCCCAAGCTCAGACTTCTGTCCAAGATCCAACTCACCCCACTTTTCTCAATCTTTTCTTCTTCAAAAGAAGACGACCCATTTTCATCTTCGATTTCCCACTCTTCGCTTGGTTCTTCCATCCTACCCTGTTTTAAAACATACGAAACAAGAAAAACTGAAGAATTTTGAACCAAAATTAACATTTTACTGTAAGAAACCAACCCAAAAACCAAAAAAATCAAGAACGCGGAGAAATATATAAAATACCCAATTGCCTTGTCGCATACCTGAACCTGATGATGGATTATGGATTTGGCAGAACAACTAACTTGAATTTCATGAGTTAAAGAAAGTTGAAGACTATAATCTTGATGATGTAATTTGAGAGTAACGGTGAAGGCTTCTATCCGGGATTTTGAGTCTCCGAATAAAATAAATGCCTGGGAAAGTGATCCGTGGACACGCGTTGGGAAAAGAAATGGTGGATTTGCATGAAGGACGCCAAGTGCATGGAGACCTGCCAACTCGCAGACATCAGCATCATGATGATTGAATTTTAATTTAGTACTTTTTAAGAAATAAATATAAATTCTTCGTATTAAGGACCAATTCGGATAAAAATTGTATAATATTAAAAGATAAATTAATTTAAATGTAATGTCGTTTGGTCTATTTAATTAAACATATTAATTGTGATCATTTTACCGCATCTCTCATATTAGATAACATTATTCTATTCTAAATTCATACGAGGATTTCTTTATTACCTGGTTACAAATTAGGATATTTAGATTGTTTAATAAGTAAATGCAATTCATAATAATGATATTTATAATTCAATTTGATAATTACGATCTAATATGATTTCAATCGAGCAAACATATTTTTAATTTGACTTAATCAGGTAACTACACATTATTTAATTTTAATTAAAACAATTTTGTCCAGTTTTATTAAGTAATCATTGTTGTGGCACTCAATAAATGATAGTTATCATACGTTATCACTATTGACCAGGTGTGGCACTCTCGCCGCTCGACTCATAAAAAGAAGGCTCGTGGGTGGTTCGGGCTCGTGTTCGAGCTTGGCTCGTACTTGAACGAGCTTGAAAAGAAGTCTGGATTGGGATTATTGGATTAAATCAAGCGAGGGAAGGAACCCAGAGGAAAGAATAAATCAAAGCTCTATAACCCGACAAAGGGGATATCAAAATTCGTGTTCGAAGGGATGACCAACAGACTTCTCCCATCTGAGCTCCAACTTCTCAACTACTATATGGATCAGTCGCATCAGGATCCAAAATGGGTGGAATTTGTACGACAGCGTCTACAAATCCACAGACTCTCGCTCGAGGAGTATGAGTTCCTGGTGTGAGTGACTAGCCGAGCTCGTGGGTAGATGGGGTCGAGCATTGCCACCCCTATTGTTGACTTAAAATAAGTATAACTTCAATGAAATACATATAAATATCATTTATTGATTGTCATATCATCGATTTTCCTCTTCGACGTAGTTACCTAATTGAAATCAAACTAAAACATAGTTATCCAATCAGCCCTTGTTTGATAGTGATTTTAATATTAGTCAAAGTTAACTATCAATTTTAACCACTTGTTTTATAGAATTCAAACTTTTCAATTATACATTTTATCATCTTTTATCAAAAGCTACTAAAAATCTGATTTTAATTCCCATCGAACATGGGCTTAACAAAATTGAAGTACAATTAATTGACTAAAATAGAATGAAAGTATAGTTCCAAACTTTCCCCATTGTTCTACTTTTACAAGTTATCAACTTTTGAATACAAGTATTTGAGGAGGTATAAAAGCATTTAACAACGATGTATGTCATATGCAATGATAAGGTGTAAGTAATTTTGTATCGACGTGCAAATTTTCTTTCAAAAAAAAAACAAAAAAAAATCCTCATGCATTTTGTTATACATTGTATGCCTCAAAACGTTGTAAATAAAGTGTCTTTTGGCACATTTAAGAAGTTTGAAAAGCTAATAGGATGAAAATTAAACTTTTAAATTTTTCAAGGACTGAGGTGAACATAGTAAAAGTATCCCTTGAGCCTAGAGAAATTATTTAGGAGGCAAATACGACAGGTCAATTTTTGGGCAAGTTTGCTTCGAGAGGCTTAGGCGAAAATAATGAAATGTATGCTTCCATAAATGAACAATTTGAAGTTATCAACATCACGAATTTACGAGTGTCAATGGATATAAGGCCTACAACGTTAAAATTCTCTACTGATTTTGGTATATATAAAAGTCAAATTTGAATTTCAGCCGACTAAAAAATATTCGAGTTGGTTAGTCTAGTGTTCAACCTATCAGACTCTTGTAAAAATTGATTAGTGGCTACAATGAAAATTTCATCCATTTTGTTCCCCTATTCTTCCTTCTTCTTTTTTTATTTTTATTTTTGAGATGATTATTTTGAGCGAGTACATGAAGAAGAGGCCTTATCTTAAATATATATTTAACAAAAGGCTTATTTTGTACTTGACACGATTGCTTTAAAAAGCACTAACTCAACTCACTACTCAATTGAAACAGTGAATTAACTTAAGTCCCCGTTTGACTCCCATTACCTGAAAATGAAAATGGGGGAAATAGTATTTTTTAGAAAATTGAGTGGTTGAAAAAGAAGGAAAAATTTTCGATTTACGTGTAATAATATTTTATAAAAGATTGTGTGGTTGAAAATAGGAGAGAGAAAAATGGAATGTAATGTAATTGAATTTAAAGGGGATCAATCATATAATGATCATTTCTTCTACAAGCTCCCATGTGTAGGATTGAACCCAAATTTACATTTGCAAATGAAGATAAACTATCTAACAAGAATAAAGCTAATCGAATTGGACATTCGACAGGATTAAGTGTGACAGCACTTATCTAATTGTTTTTTTCCTTATTGTTTAATGAAAAAATGACACGTGTTCACCTATTTAAAATTTTATTGTTGAACATGTTCATGTTGTAAGATTGCCCGTGTTCAAAACATATCGAAAGTCTTCCTTGAGACTTTGTACTACATGGAGGACGGAGGTTGAAGTGAGTCACATTTACAATTGCAAACTACAGCAATTTGGAAACAATTCTCCTTTGCAAAAAGGTCATCCCTTGTTGCTAATGCTTCAGCTCCTCAATTGAAAATAATCCCATCGTTTTTCTTTGTGTATGATACAATTATCGCTCTCACTCTATCTCAAATTATTCCACCAACTTTCAATGCGAATAGATTGATTTTGGAGCCGACCAGTTCTTAAATTATTTAAATTGATTTTTGACTTTTAAGTAGGTTTGTTTACGATAGACTTCTAATTTTCTTACTTCAATCTGATTTTATGAAACTACTGAATTTGTACTAAACATATCATAACTATTTTTTTGAAGGCATATCACAACTATACAAGTCATCATTCTCATTTTTCTTACCTTCTCATTTATTTTAAATAACAATGCATTTTCCATTTTTCATCTCATTTTCTTGAGAAGCTTGAAATATTTGGGGTTTTTTCTTAAAAAAGGTCAATCTTGTTAAGAGGGATAACCTAAGAATTTATAAATTCATCTATATTTTCATCTTTATTCAATATAAGATTATACCCCTTAGCATGGCCCACAAGATGGTAGTTCATTTGAGTAGATCAAGTTTAAAATTCATATGGTCATTTTTGAGTTTTAATCGGATCGAACGCTCGTTGAAACTTAATGTGCACTATACCATGTTAAGATTTGTGACTTCATCTTAAAAGATCAACATTTTTAAGAGGAGTAATCCAAGAACATATAAATTGGTCTATATTTTCATTTTTAATTCAATGTGAGATTATATCCAAGTTAAATATTTCAACACTCATTGAACTTTGGCATATATCACGATTTATTCACCGAATTTCACAATGTTTCCCAATGGCCACTCAACTTTAAATTTTTGCATTCCATCACTCACCAGATGTTTCCCGTCCCTCATTCAGTCTACATGGATAATGGAATTCCTACGTCGAAATTAAGTTCTTTTAAATGTAAAATAGAAATGCTTACGCGGTCTCCGTGTCATCAAATCTTGATTTTCAACCCAAACACGCCCCACCTTGTGAAAGAAAACCTCCTCAAAATAGGGAAACATAAAATAGAATTCCTTAATTGCTGATTCACTAAATTCACTAATTGTTGATTCTAAGCACAACGATGATCCTGACTCTGAACGGGCTACAGAAAATAGAATTCCTTGTCGCCGATTTGAAGGTTATCTTAATTCCTAATTGTTTCGCGCGGGTTCGTCGCTAACAATTAAAAAGTGATCAGACTATTGTGTAAGGGACAAATCTCTTGAGAAAAAGTCCCAAAAAGGGATGTTCTTTATTGGCGATGTCTTTACAATCGGAAAGTAAAAACAGAATGTCTCCAAGGGGCGCAAGCACACGAGTTACTGAAAGAAGTGTTTAAATCTAAACTAAGAAATTTAAAATTACATGTTCTCTGTTCGAGAGTTTTTTGATTCGGGGTCTTTTGCTCTATGTCTTTTCTTCCTTTTATACTCCCTGGATGATCTCTTTGTAATCAACCGCCTAAAAACTGCTTAATCGTTCTATAACTGCCCACTTTCCTCGTAATGGCCAACTTGTCATGGAACTGCCTTTTTTAACTGCTGTCATTACGCTTTGTCGTTCAACCGTTTTCGATTGAATTCCTTGAATCGTGAAATGTGATAGGGCTCCTTAATAATTGCTTTGATAACTACGCTTCTTGATAACCATAACACTTCATGTTTGCTAAGACCTTGGGCGACTCGAAAGTTTGGGCGAGAATAGAGTAGCAGCTCTGGACGACTACATGGCATTCCATTCGCTCAGATCCTGGGCGACTTGCAAGCTTGGGCGATGGTGTTACCGCGTTCATGGGCCTCCCTATTTGGGCCTTTATCCTGAATTGTCTGATTGGGTTTCATTCTTTGGGCTATCTGATTTGGGGATCCTCCAATTGGGCTTCATTCTTTGGGCCGTTGGATTTGGGCTGAATTTTTATGTGTGAACAATTACCCCCCAATATGGCAGAATTAATATCAATTATTAAATTTTGTCATATTCACTTTTGTGTTTCCAACAACATTCGAAATTCTCAAGAATTTCAATCATTGTTTTCTTCCATAGCTTTGAAAAGGTGCGACGTTTTGCAAACCCTTATAACCCCCGAATATGCCATTTCACTGCACCATTAAATCACGCCTCACTTTTTCGCGCTTCTCTCTCACATTTTTACTGTTCATCTCTTTGGTTCCCTTCTACGTAACTCTGAAAAACCTCATTTCGTCCCTAATGGCTACTTCACAATCTCAATCTGGCGACTCCTTTAATTTTGAAGACTTTCAGAAACTCCTTAATCGTCCATACATAACTCCGAACTTTCTCGCACCTGCCCATGTCGAACTCAATGAGTTCTACCTAGGTCCTTTCTTCAACAATGCAGAGGCAGTCGAACAAGCGGCGGTGGGCCAGCTGTTTCCTTGTACTCAAGGCCCTCCATTTCTAAACTCTCTGCCACTGGGGCCATTTCGTGAAAGAGGTATTCGCACTTGGCCCAAATCTGAC